CTGTAATTGCTGATGGTTCATAGAATAATAGTAGTCAACGAGGAGGCCTACAGTTATAAACATAATGAGTGAAAGCGCAAGAACCACTATACTTTACTATACTTATCATACAGAGATTACTGGGTAACTAATAAATTAATATAGAGCTTTTTATTGTTACAAGACATCTTGCCTAGCAAGAAACTTTGTAGATTCTACATCAATAATGCATTGATCAAATAAGGGTCATCATGGATTTGTTTTATGTTTGCTTAATCAAGAAAAGAGGTCTTTCACCCCCCTGGACTGTTATACCTCTATCTTCGACCATGCTTTAAATCTACGGTACAACTACTGTCCTGGATGGGGAGAATGAGGACCTGCACAAAAGCTCATTCAATATACCCAACTGTGATGGCAATTTTAAGCTGCAAATGCCACAGTGGCCAACAGAAGAGTACAGTATGTGTTGACTGGTGGAGCGAAGATTGCGTCTGGCAAGTAGGCGTAGTTACAGTTTCTCCAACAGCCAGCAGGGCCACAGTGGACAAATGCTAACCTCTTCCTGGTAGCACTCTGCCAGGGACAGCATAAACCAAGTCTCGAACCAGCAACCTCCTGGCGATAAAGCCCAAACTGTTCTCCTGGTGGCTGAGCCACTGAAGAGTCCCACTGGTAACGTTTATTTTCCATCAGTCTAATTTTAAAAGCCGCTCCGAGGTCCTGAGCACTTTGTGGCGTATTCAGGCAGTGTCATCAGTCAGGTTTCCTTCTGCCTACGGCTTCGTTCTAGTGGGCTCAGCTGGAGCTGAAATTTGCCAAGCTCGACACAACACCTCATTCAGTGAAAATGTTGACCGGTGTGGAAACTGTAATGCCATTTGTCGATTTTGCAGGAAAATCTCTGTTCTCCCTATGAACACGAACACAAATGCTTATTTGCAGAAAAGCCACAGTCACCTGAGTCTGCACAGCTTTGGGAAGTGAGAATACACAAGTTGCTGCAGCAGAAATGGCAATGTGAATTGATCGGGCCAATACCTTTTACATGAGTAAGAGAGCATACTTTCTCGCAACCAAGAGAAAACACATAATCACTTAGTATACTGATCCTTCTGTTCTCAGGTATGTACAGGGTACTGTTTATTAATCTGAATGTATTTATGTACAATCAACTTAACCAGACATCTTAAATAAATTAAAATAACTTATAAATACAACCCAGCAGGCTCTGTGTAACATACAGTACACTGCAAGTATAGAATCCCTCCATCCGTCTATTTTCTAACGCTTTATCCAATAGACGGTCATGGGTAAGCCAGAGCCTACCCTTGCTAACAACAGGTTGTAAGGGTGGATACTCCCTGGACGGGCCACCAGTCCTTTGCAGGACACACACATGCATGCCTTCACACAAGGGCAATTTTCCCAGAAACCAATTAACCTACTAGTACAGTACATCTTTGGATTATGGGAGGAAATTGGAGCACCCAAAGGAAGCCCATGTGAACAGAGGAAATCCTAGAAACTCCACAGAGACAGCAACCCAAGAATTAAACCTAGGGCCCCTAGGCTAAAATGCTAACCACTGCACCACCATGCCGCCAAATATAGAATCCTTTGATCTTTATTATTTTGTTTTACTCGGCTTATGTCCTGCATAACAATGCTCTCATCATAATTCATGCCAATCACACAGCCTCTACACATAAATCTATGCATTATTCAAATAGTAGCAACAAGTTAAATAATATAGTTTATATAACAGGCTTTCAGCTTTTCTCATTTAGTAAGTCTGATTAATATTGCATTGGGTGCTGAAAATGTATAATTTGGAAAATCTTTTGATTATATTACAGGGCTAAAATCAGACAAAAATGCAGAGTGTTGTCTGAAGAGACAGCTAAGCTGAGACATCACTTCATTAACCTTCTCTGGTACAGTAACCAGAAATGAAATCATGTCCAGATAAACTGTGATTTAACAGGAAAGAACATCTCAGGACATTTAATATCCGCTGGGTGTAGCACTGAGCTTCTTCTAATCAGACGAAGTAATTTGGATCATTACATCTCAGTATGTGTTCCCTCTTGACACAACAATCCTTCTTCACCACAGGAATCCCGTTACCCTTTACATATAAAGCCAGAATTGAACATGGTAGCCGTACAGCTAAAGAAATGGGATTAGCAAAAGGGCAATTATGCTGAATCTCACTTGCAAATCAAACTCAATGAACCACCTTAATTAAAAAACTGAACAACAGAGACTATTTAGATGGGTAAAGATGAGACCTATCCTGACTGGAAGTCAACAAAAAAAAAGTAAACCATCCAATAAGTACAGAGTTATTGTTTCCCAAATAATTTCATAAGACATAAAGCAGAAAATAATTTAAATTTGAACTTCTATTCTGGAGGTTGTTTTATTCAAATATTTCCTCAAATAAACCATGCTGAACATCAAAAGAAACTCTTCACTTTATCGAGACCCATCTTAAAAATTTTAAATCATTTTTATTTTTGCTTTTCACCGACCTGCTGTGCATTGTAAGTCGGATGCCCTTTTATGAACATCAGCAATCTCAAGCTCCTTTGGATCCTCAACTCGTACACTGAACCAGCTTCAGAAACCAGAGGCTGGGAAAACAGCTCAGGCTCTTTACTTGTCAACCACACCTTGGTTTATTTCACATATTTCAGTTTTGCTGTAGCACAGGCAGATGTTGTGCAGGGTAGAGTGGAGACTATTTCCCTGTAGACCTCACCATAATTGAATTTCAGATTACTGCTAAAAGGAACAGCCTCAAAAGTCTCACAAAAAGGATGTGACAACTCATATTAAAATGTCTACTGCTGATTGAGTAACTTGATGCAGCCAAACATGAAACTTCGGTTTTACTGGAAAGAAAACTGTTTTGTATTCCTTCTTTCATCTACCCGTCATATTGACTATCATTATGTAGGGCTAGATATGGAAATCTGATAACATACTCATTCAAGTTTAAGCACCATATTCTGAACAATCAAGGCCCACCTACACAATCATTAACTCAAACCAACAGCTTGGATTTTAAATAATACCAAAAGCCTTATTTATTCTGCTTGGAATCAATAATAAAAAAAATAGATCTTTGAAATTACCCATTGTCACAGGTGTGATTGCAATTTCTCTGCACCATACAAAATTAACTGTCAGGCTCTGTAGCTGATATGCTGTTTACTTATTTCAGGCCTGGTGACATTTGTGAATAATGTAGAAATGCTTGCCAATATATTTACAATTTGCCAACATTTTAAAAGATACTCATCCAAAAACGTGCTTCATTTTCTTTTCAAGGTTTTGAACGGTGACAAACAGCTGAAAAGGCCAATTCAATCACCTTGGATTCTTCTTCCATGATGGGAGCAAGGCTCTAGACTACACAACGAGATAAAACACATACTGTATCCTATAGTGGCTTATTCTAATGGTTAATTAGCACTGTACTTATCTGTATCATTAGGTCTTTGAGCTTTAACAACAAGAAATTCCCTGGCGAATGCCAAAAACCATAAATACTTCAGTTTTGTGGTAATTAGGATGGTAGGACAATTGGAACACCTTCAGAGACTCAGCCATGAAGTACTTCCGATTCAGCATTTATCAATTCCTGTAATATTTGCTTAGTTGCGTCTTTTCATTGGTAGCTATTGGATCTCATATTCCCCAGGGGACTTTGAGACACAGGATTTAAAGCTGCCCTTAAGTTGCCGGGAAAAAAAAAATCAACTAAACATCACATTAGCTTAAATCAATACTGTATGTTAATTAACCCAAAACCAAATAGAAAAGAAGGTATGGGGTTAGAAGACAGAAAAAGTTTCTGCTGGAACCTGCTGATTGTGTTCTGTGGCTTTTGTCTTCTGCAACACATACTTCAGCCTGTTCTATATATTTATATTTTAGTATGTTCTGTTTGGCATTGGTCTTCCCTTCAAGTTGTATCCATAAAGCCTAGCCTTCAAATTACTCTGAGTCATGTCTGGGAGGAGGGAGTGTGTTCATTATGACAGGAGGGGGTCCAATCAGTCCTCAAATGGTGGCAATGTGTGATTGAGAACAGATTAAATCAGGCATATAAAGGGGTACTTATCAGAATAATCTGTAAACACAGTTACAGTTTAATTTGCAATCAATTTTCAGATCACACACACATCTTGAAAATTTAGTTAGCCAGATACGGGACTGTTTATGAGGCAAGCAAGCGGTCTCATTAAATCAGACAGTGGCACAACTGACCCTAGCAAGGCTGCTGTCCAGACCTGTTTCACTGTCTCTCAGCAAAAGAAAGCCGGCAATGGATTCAAGAATTGGAAATGAATTCAAGAAAAGGTTATTGTGAGATATGCCCTTGCAAATAAGATAAAATATTCTGAATCAAAAGGTCCTCTTTGAGACAGAGAGCTGAAACTAGTAAAAAGTAATCTAACCACAATAATAAAAATCTAAATTAATAGCCATGGGGTAACACCTTGAAATAAGAATCACAGTGAACATTTTCAAAGAATTCTAAGATAACAGTATTAAGTGCAAAACATGTGTTTGACATGAGTCATCTATTGCTACGTTACACCAAACAATAGATTTTTTTGTGTAGCTGTTGCTTTCAGCTCCAAGCTCTTTCTTCTTTTTGGCTTATCAGGAGAAATAAAAGCCTTTCATTGGCATGGTGGCTAAAAGCATATTCATAAAAACTTTTCCTGATAAAAAGGAAAGAACAATGTGCAGGAATACTAGGGCAGATATTGGGGGGGGGGGGAAAAACAAGGCCTCACACAAAAGACCCTTACAGGGGATTTCTTGGCGTATGAAAAGTTGCATTTTTGCTCATCAAAACAGAAAAGATGAGGGAGAGACACAAAAACTTGCTGAAGGTTTTCATATAAATCTTTTCCTTAAAAAAACATTTGTGAGGAATATATTATACAAATCCGCCATGCAATACTGTATTTAAACTGCCCTTAGTTAATCAGACTCACATCACCAATTGGTTGATTGATTGTATACTTTCTCTTATTTGCAGGAATTTCCATTGCTCGCTTTTAATCTTTCTTCAGCCTTTTCATACACATCCTCTGCTTCATTACCCTGAAAGAGATGAGAAGACAGAAAACAGAAAGGCCAGGATGGTTTATTAGGGTGCCGTTTTCCTGTGACAAACGAATGTGATGAGAATGAAACTAACTATATATTATAGAAATACCATCCGATAGAAGTAATTTGTCAAAAGGCGCATCTTTTAAGTATCAGCATTTTTCATTGGGTTTAAAATCCATCTGTGTTATCAGTATGTGCAGACACTAGCAAGACAAACACCGGGTTTTAGAGATGCTGTAAAATGAGAATCAGAGAAACTAAAGCAAGACCAAAACAATTAAAAAAACACCCATAGTCAAGAGAGATTTAATCCGGTGCCATTACAAGATGTTGTAATATACAGTAATTGAGTCAATGTGTAATACTTTGAAGGGAATTCATGACACTGTTTATACAAATAACCATAAGCATGTTCCATTTAAAGATGCTAAAAGGTGACATTCAACTTACACCGTAAAGGAGAGGAGAGTCACACATTTATTTGTGCTCATAAAACAATTTTAGGACAGTCTGAATAGTCTAAATGATCATTTTCTCTTAGCAGGCAGACCTTTGCAGACAAAACACGTTTTTGCTTCCAGACAAGGGGGATGGAGATCCTCCTAACAGGTATGGTGGTTTTCCAGCAAAGGTATCATGAAAGGCTGGGCGTGGACAGTGCTGGGATGGGAGACCAGGTTGGAGCTGCAAGGTTGCTTGCAGACCTGTACAGTAGCTCACACCTGGCCCTCTGGACTAAAATGTCCAAAACAATATGCTGAAGCCTTTCACTGGCACGGTTAAGACATTAAACCAAGTTTCTAACTGCTTGGTCTTTCGATGTCCTACATTATGGCACTATTTGTAATGTGTAGGACTCTTAACTACAGTATCCTAGCTAAATTCCAATCTGGGTTTTTCTCACTTTTCTAGCTAATACACCGTATAACAAGAGGTACTGTTGGTGTTCCTGTCAACAGAAAGAACCCACTCCACGCTCGACATGAGAGAAAATAAAAAAAAAGCTAAAAGCTTGAATTCTCCAATATTGCCTTCTACAGAGCCCACATGAGCAGTCAGTTTCGCTTCAATAATAAGGAAGCAGTCTTTCCACACGGCAGCTCTGCCTACTGTAGTAGACTGTCCAGCTGTCTGACTGCAGTGATCTTGGGGAATTGTATAGAAGCTCTATACCAGTGAATTATGGTTCTGTTCCCATGCTACTGGGTTTGAACTTGCTACTCTCAGGCTAGCTGCAGGTAACAATTTACATTTAGATGCTTTTAGCCACCCACTCCCCTCGGAATTAACCTCACAGAACAGCTCTATTACTCTTCATTTCAGCCATCCATTCTCCCTCGTTATTACAGGAACAGAAACATGGCAGTTGCGTGAGCTTTTTACTAGTGTGTTGGCTTGTCTGCAAAATGTCCCCAAGCCAGTATTGATCAACAATACAGAGGACAGTCATAGTCAGACTCTTGCTACACTAGACCAAATGTCTAGACTGCATGACATAAAACAGTATTCATATTTTCTGCACAGCAAGAGAAAGTGCTTCTTGATTAAATACATCTTGCCTTGGATGTATTAGCATTAAAGGTAGATTGATTTGAACAGACAGGTATACACAGAAGGCAAGAACTCTAAATGCAATATAGTCTATTATACTGCATATGCATTCTGCACCAAAGCTGCAAAAGGTCTAGGTAAACAAGTAAACCTAATTAGTTGAGGTTCATTATAAAATCACATGGCTTCTGTCCTTTTTCATTTATTAAAATGAAAGTCACTGGAAATGAGTTAGAGCAAATTAGGGATCTGGAAAAAACCGAGCTGTTGGCCTGACAGCACAGGCAATTAAAGAAAAATAAATAAAGTGTTCAGTAATCATACATATTAAAAACGCATTAGTGATGTTCAAAGTGCTCTTTGCTGTTTGAGGTGTTGGGTTGGCTGGATCTGCAACCTCACTTCATCCCTATTTCCCCTACCCAGTCATGCAGCCAACAGGCACTGATAGACTATAAAACTCACATTGCAGAAACTGAGACCAGAATGCCAAACACATTTTCAGATGACATTGACACTTACCTAGTCTTAAACTCAATTTCACTCATGGTGAAAGCAGAAGTTGCATAGAAAGTCAACTTAGCACCTGTGGTGAAGGCTAGCTAGTGAAGTGGTCTACAGTGGTTTGCAGTATTTTTCGGCAGTCCAAAAATCTTTCATGCAGGTACAATGTGTTACTATTGTATTTTGCACAGCTTAAGGTGGTGCATATTTGGTAACAGTTTGAAATAATTTTAGCGTTTTAAATTAATTCATGAAGTGGAAAACCTGCGTAGCATGGGATGCTAGGACTACAAAATAGTAGTGATGTTTTCTCCCACTGATAGCTAGAAGTCCTGTGATAGCAGTAACCTCTTGACTTCACATTAATCATGCTGCTGGGTAAACAGCACACTGTACCCTTCAGAGTATTGCAAAACACGATTGCTTTCTATGGGGATCAAACTCAGTCTGCTATTCTTCTTCTACTGCAGCCTCTGATCCAGTCCACCTTATTCATGGTTGGAAATAAAATGCTCTTTCAGAAAGCTGCCTCTCTGTGTAGAAAGTCAGGGGTGGATGATGAATTGGCCACTGTGGGGTCTTAGTAATTCTATTGCAATTTTCACAGACTATGATCGACAGGACAATTGAGTGGTTCCATTTGTCATTGTGTGGTAGATGTTAGTGTTGACATCCTTCTTTATTATAACTGACCAGCGTAATAAACACCGAAATAAGTCTTATAACAAGTAATGTTCGATTCCTGTTGCCAAAAGTTTTTTTTTCTCTGTAGAACAAAACACTTTTTACACCTCCTACTACATGGGTTTTCCTTTACAATAACCCTTTAGAAAAATAAAATATAGGTTCCATATCAAGATGAAATCCTCTCGCACTGGAAATAACATTAAAGAAAGAAATGGGGAATGCTATTTTGAGAATCTCCTGCCATCCAGATTCTTTTCTAGTGCTACTGAATATTTTATGATTGTTTCTTCTTCCGGTGCTCTACATATCTGGAATACATTAATAAGTGTTTTGATCTTCCTGCTCTGATAATACCACAGGCAACATTTTTCTCCGAGTGCATCTCAGCTTGAAGTGTGCCATGTGAATCCATTTGCAAATAATAAACATTCCATTTAAGTATCCTCTTTAATTTAACTGTCTTCAATATAGAATTCAGACTTTATGATGGTTAAAATGTTCAATTATTGCAAATTAGTCTCTACGGAGCATGTACAAATATTATGTTGTGAAATTAATTTTAAAAAACAAACTTTAGATGCTCTACAGATTCAGTGGGGCAGAATAGTCTGAGCAACCATTATTCAAAAACATTTTAAATGCAGCAGCCTTTGTGAAGACTTAAGCAGCTGAATCCATGTGAGGTGAAAGATACCATCTGTACACTGCCCATTCTGTTTTTCAGGGAGTGAGAATCTTTTAAATGGAAATTAATATTCTCCAACATCTGTTCCTCTGAATCAGCCACTATTATACACAGACATAAAGGGGTTAAAGCTAGTTAGGGACACAGGGAAGCTGGGAGGTAAGAAGCCATAGGAAATCCGAGAGACGGGTCAAGGAGATGAGCAGAGAAACACACTGTAGACAAACACAGGCTCGCCTCTGGGAAACGAGGACCCGAGAAAGCAGTGGTCAAGGCAAGCACGGGACCAGGGCTGGAGGGGCTCAATGTGGAAACTCAAAAAACAGATTCCCGAGCTCTGGCAGGTCCAAGTATTTCTCTGGAAAAACATCTGGAATGGGCATGGTCGTAAACTTGTCCAGGTGCTCCAAAGTCTCCAGGTCTCCAGGTGATTGGTTTCCATAGCAAACGGCAAAGGGAGAAAGGGAGTAACCAGCTGCCAGGTCACAGCTAGCTCGCCCTACTGCTCGACTGTGGGGGCAGATAACGCATGCATTCTGAACTGAAAACCCCCATAAGAAAAACTGAGATTTATTATTTGCAATGATCACTTAGATGTTGTCTTTTCTGCTTTGATGACTTATATTGTATTTTCCTCATTGTCATTTTAAAACCGAAGTTAGCCAACATTTACTGCCCTTGTGTTTAAAATGTTCAGAAAGAGTATGTTTTTGTCTCTGAGGTTATCATCAAAAAGCCATTTATTTCCGATTGTTAGTAGTAAAGGATTAACATGACTAGACAATTTCAAATCTGGACAGATAGTACCTTGCCTCCTGCATATTCTCTTCACAATATAGTGCAATGCAGCCTATATTAACATTCCTATTTCAAATAGCAAAAAATACTGTACATAGATATTTAATAATTCAGTGCCTAACTCCAAGAATTGGCAGATCTTGCACAATGATAAATATATAAATAATCTAGTGTAGAATGTGTCAACACTTCAGTGTGTATTTTAAGTGCAATACACCTTTGGGATTTTAGCTGCTCCAAAAATGTCTTTCACTGTCTGGGACTGAGGTCAGCTCCAGACAGGACACCCACACCATATTCCCATCTGCCACCGAGACTGAGAGCTGTAAAATTTCACCCTTGTCAAGACGGGAGTTAGACTTCACCACCGAGCAGCACAGGATAAGGCAAAATCACAAATTGCTGACAATTTTCTGTCAAGGCATACAAAGAAACAGACAGCTGTTTTCCGAGTTCTCTACTGAAATGCATTTTTAAAATTCTTCATATTGGGACATTTCAAGCAGTTTAAACGGACTGGCAAAATGGTTGTTGCATTTATATTGGGGATCATAGGACAAATATCAACCTTGACACAGCAGGTACGGTTAGTTTGTTAAACTGCTTTAGGCATAAATTTCAAGTTCTGTGCAGAGGAACTTTTCACACCCAGTACTTGCATCCATGCAGATTTAGGTTGTGGATTTACTTCTTTGCTTTAATTAGAACAACCTTCAGAAGAAGGTCAGACATTTTTTACAACTTTTTTCAATAGAGCTATGGACAT